TGAGGTTAGTCAGACTGACTGTGTGTGGGTGTAACTGCTATTCCTACAACTCCAAGCCTTTAAATAACAGAGTTTTATTTTAAAATTAAGGGCAGAAAAATAACCCCAGGCACTTCCATTTCTTAACACTGGAGCCGTCTTTGGGAAACAGCATTTATGGAGCCTTGAATTTCCCAGCTGCAATAGATGCTGACAGTGGAGAGAAAAAGGTGGAAAGATGGAGACAGAAATTCATAGTAAAGGAAGTTCACTTACGGTATGTGAAGTCTCTGAACACCAGCTTCAGTGCTCGTTTACTAAAATAACAGCTCTATACTTTTATCACTGTCTCTGTATGGCCACACTTTAATCTCCTGAACAGTGTTAGTCTGGCAGATACAGCCCTTAGAAACTCTAGAAGTCAATTTTCAGTACCATGAAGTGAATTAGAGTCACAGGTACAGCACAAGCTAAGGTAAGATCTTTCAGGAAGAAGAGAACAAGAAAACTGCATGCTAGCTTGAGGTTATTTTCTAAATTTTAATTACTTCTAAGATGCTGCATTTTTGGTATCAAGACTTTGCAGTAATGAAAAACAGAGCTAACCCCACGTTTGCTTGTTACAATGATAACACTTAAGATTTCCAAGTGAAATAACTGCTACTTGAACAACACTCCTTGGCACAGCTGAAAGGTAGGCAGGAGAAGGCCTATTTTATTTAAGGATGCTAACAAACTATAGGCTAGCAAGGTTTTATAAGATCATCCACGTTGTTACATGGGTGAAAATAAATGAGATGGATAATCCTAAATAGGTACAATACATCTAGCTGTTCAGAAGTTACAGTTACAAGTTCCCAAAAAAACCCCAGCCCAGACCAATTCAGAGAAAGTAGTGAAAAACAGCACATGAACTGAGATTTTTTTTTTTCTAAACAGAGCGCTGTACATGTACTAGGTTGTTACTCAGCATTAGATTTAAGAAATCATTAAAAGCCATCTGCTCCTGTTTATACACTAGAACCCTGACAGTTAATCTTACTGTGAAATACACACAAAAGTATGATACTGAGGAAAGAAAAAATACAAATTAAATACGCCATCCAATAAACCCACTATGAAAAAGTAGCTTTCTCCTATTCCTCTCTCTTGCTGTCTCCATATTTATGTCCCCAACCTAATAAAAAAAGTCCTCAGTAACAGGATGGCTTTAAAAGTTTTCCAAGCACATGTAGAGTGATAGAAGATTACGGTGCTACACATTAAAGTAGCTTTGATATACTAGGCACAAAAATCATGCACCTCATCCTCTTAGTATCAGATGCACAAAATTGGTCAGTTTATCCTCAAAGCATGGTGCACACTGAACTCAGCAGCTCATTCTTTACTATGACGAAAGCAAAGCAATTAAGAAAATTCAAAGCTAAATCTAAAAACATTTTTCTGTTTAGAAAATGATTTCTTAACTTTTGAATGAAGTGATTGCAGCATGTATGAGTGTGAAAAACATGTACCAAAGTCAGGTTTTCTTTAACAAAGAAAAAGAGGAAAAGTTTGAAGAATGATGTAAACCTATATTGTTGATGACACATTTGTATTAACGCAAATGCCCAGATTGTTGGGGACACGCTCATGAAAACGCCCACGTGCACATCTAGCTGGTCCTTCTGCATCTTTGTGCCATCTCACCACTCGTGGAGAGGCGAACACATGGTTCCAGGGACTCAGGAACCACCTTGCTGGATCAAAACTGCAGTTTCCAAGGTCAGCACCTGGGCTTCGGCCATAGCAAAGACATGGTGCATCATGCCAGACCCGTTGGGAAGCCCACTGCAGGCCACTGTGGAGTCACCAGTCCTACAAAAGCTCTCAAACTGTCCCCCAGTAAAGACCTTCTGAAGCCAGGACTTCTCCTTAAAAACATTCCCCATAGGAGCATTAGCCTTGCTGAAGCACAGTCTGCAGGGGTTCCCTGTAACAAGTTGCTCACGGGGAGCCCAAACCACCAAGCTCGGCCACCTTCATCTTTCACCGCAGGTCTCTTTGTTCCTTTGTTGCAATGGAGGGAGTGGGGAGCATCCTGCCGTGCTGCCCGCTCCATTCCCTACTGCTCATACTTTCCTTATGCTTTTTGTCTCGTAACAACAGTAAGCAAGCCTCAGCTTTTCACTCTCTCGTCTAACGAGTCCTTTCATGACCTATATAATTCCACATTCATGCAGAGTACCCGTGTGCCATGCAACCAGGATGTGCTTTAGTTTTCTCCGAATTTTGCGGTTTAATTTGATGATTACACTGTAAAAATTAAGACACATCCCTTTAATCTAAATTACTCGCGGTAATTTAACCTAATTTTATTAAAACGTAGAAATGATTGCTGTACGTTCTGCACAAAGGAATTAAGACTGGAAGGTTAAGAATCAGCATCAGTGATACCAGCAGCTCCCTCTAGTTGGAAAGCGTGTTATTTTTCTCCCCAAAGAGCGAGTATATAGGAAAGATAACTAGATGTTGCAAGCTTCTTACAATAAGCGGCTTGGTAAGTCATGCTGTAATATACCATCCTTGTAGATCTACTAGCCACACTGCTTTGATTCTCTCTCAAATAACTTTTTATTATCTATGCTGACTTCTGACTACTTTTGTGATACGTTAACTAGCAAAAAATTAAAAATTCCCAACATCCGACAATGAATATACTTTGAAACAAAAAAAAATACAGCATGTTAGAGCAGTTATTTGAAAACAGCGTTTTACCGAAATTTAAAGTAAGCGTTAGAACTTGCATATGCTTTAAATAAATATAGGGTTTCATATATTGATCCAGAAGCCACCTCCTTACATTTCCAAGGCTTTGAAACTAAAGAAGAGGCTTTTTAGCCTGAGGGGTTAAAAGTGTGGGTGTGGAAGTGGGCTTTTGTTAGAAAAATTAGCAATGCTATGAGTCATTGTGCATTAGCGGCGGAATAGTTTTGCATCTTGTATGAATCCAGACACCATATGCCATGCGAGGGCCTGCTACTTTATGCGGTGCCGCGGCTGACGGGCGGCCACGTGGGCATCCCCAGCGGAAAGGCTGTCTGCGCGCGGCGGCGAGCGCAGGAACCCGGTGATCCGAACACGCTGGACATTGTCGAGAGCAGCAGGAACAGCTGGTAAGCTAGCAGAGCTAGCAGGGCTAGCAGAGCTAGCAGGGCCAGCGCGCCGCAGCGGCGGCAGCGAGCCAGCATGCTAATGAGCCGGCGAGCGCGCACAAAGCCCGCCGCGGAGCAGATCGACCCCAGTGCTGTCGGGCCCCACGCGGCCCAGGCTGCGGAGATTTTAGCGCGCTCCTCGAAACCACACTGCCGCTGCTCCCCTGCGCCCACCGGTCTCCCCAGCGCCACGGCGAGGGCTCGGGGCCGGGGGCCTTGCTCTGCTCAAATGTCATCTTTATTCCTGCCAGCAACGCGGCAAGCGGCCCAAGGAGACAACCCTCAGTCTGGCTCCAGCGTGCATTTCGCCCCATGCGCGTTTTGTCTGCGTGAGGATGGCACAGCCTGAATTAAAGCCCGTTCAGATAAAACACTACTTTTTTTTTTTTTTTTTCCCCCCACCCATTTGTGACAAAAGCCAAACAAAAATAACCCTAGGAAATCCAAAGTGCAAGTGAACATTCAGAAGCAAGTTTCCAAAAGATACAACGGAGGTTTTAGCTACATAAATCCCTTCAAAGTTAATAGGGACAGAACATCGAAATCATCAAAACTTACTTTGAAAATACAAAGAACACACACCCCTTTAATTTCTCTGGTGTGTAAGTGAAAAAAACACCCCACCAAAAAAAAAAAACCAAAACAAAAACCACAACTAAAATTGAATGTTATACTTAGTAGTTATCTGAATATATCAATTTTGCTTCTGTCAAACTTTAAAGAGAGCCTCTTATTAAACACAATTTAGAGGTTCTTTGTCTAATACAACAGAAAACGTAAACCACAAAACCCCAAGTGATAGGTGTTTGGACCTCTGTATATCTTTCTTGAAGGGAGTGGGAGCTTGAGTTCCCACCTTACTATGAAAGGTACATTTACTAGTTAGTTATAAATCAAAAACCTATATACCACACTGACTCGATGTTTGTTATTGAAAGTTAAATTGAAGGGCAGACTTCCATAACAGACCTCCACGGAAGCCCTTTGGGTAGGGCACGATTACATTAACAAAACCACACTTTTAATAAACTTGTTTGATTTTTACGGAGAACAACAGGAACACTCTGATTGCTACCAGCTGGTCCAAACTAGGTATTTCATGGGCAATGCCACCAAAGCTGGCAGACTGCAGTTAAAAGAGAGATGAGTGGCCAGTGTCAGGCTGCTATAAGCACCCAGTTAGGGACCCCGTGAATACCTTCTAGCTATTGGCCAGTCAGTACAAGCCTCAGAATCTATACATTTCCCTCTTCAGCACTTGCTCATGGTGCTCTTCACAGACTGGCAGAGAAATCTACTGTATTTTTCTTGTGAGTACACAAGGAACTACACTGCACTTTTACAGATTTAAACTGGATAAGACTGCTGGGAGTAATGTTTAAGAGCAACAGTAGTACACAAACCCTTTTGCACCACTCAGGTTGATTCAGCACTAGGACAAAAGTTTAAAGTGGCACTTAAATAAAAATACCCCTTTCCTGCTATTCATAAACAAATAAAATATTACTGGTGAAGAAATAAAGAAACCAAATGTTTCATCCAAAGCAGCAGCTTTTTCATAGCAGAGGCGAGTTAGGATTCAAATTTCCAACTCCCAATCCTGATCCACTGCTCATATTTTACATACTATACTATTTCCAGCAAGATCATGACTTTCCAAGTCTTTAATAGGGGCTAAAGAGGTATGGCTGTGTATTTTCAAAATCTTGTTTTCCATCAGTGCACGGGTACATCGTTTAGCAAATCCAAAACTGAGTTTGTGTTTGGTTTTCTTCCTATTTCTGACATATATCACACAGTGAATTTAAAAAAACCCATTACATTCATGACATCACTTAACCACAGGTTCTAAACTACCGATTAAAGCACCCAGCAAATAAAAGCCTTTAAAACTGTTGGGGTTTATTTACTCTTACTGAAGTGTACAGTTGCTGCACAGAGATCATCATCAGGAGAGGCAGCAGTTAGTGCCATTTAAAACTGCTACAGAATTAGCTTGGGACTTTCTCAACAACCCTCAGTGATCTTTACAGCTTCAGCCATAGAGAAAAATAATGATGCCCCATGTTACAGCAGAAAACTAAGTTGTATTGTTAACATGCAAACTTCACTGCAGCATCCTTTGCCTTGTGTGAAACGGTGACGCTCGCCAGCAGCTCACAGTAACGTATATACCAGATGTGTGTCTAACAAGAGACTGTGGACAGGGACAGGTATGTACACATGCACGCAGAAAAATACAGAAATTTAAAACCACTGTGTCCATACACCATTCAGCAGCATGTGAAGTTTAAATCCACAGAAGCATTATATACTCTTTATATATTCACAAGCAGGATGCAGTAGATTTCTCTGCAAGTCTATGAAAAGCACTATGAATAAGAGCTGAAGAGCCGCCTCCACAATCCCATGTAATGCCACCTAAAAGCTTTGCCTCGCATGACTTATTACAGGCTGGAGCAGATTAGAGGCATCGATCGCTGCCTGGAGAAGGTTCTCGCTGCGAGGAGGGAAGGCAGCCGCAGAGGCAGACAGTCCAGCCATCGATCCACTCCAACGGGGAGCTGCGCTGCAGAATGAAGGTCAGTGCTGCTTTACACCACCTCGTACAGTCACTGCCACGTTCACCAACATCCCTCAGAGACTGCTGCGACGGGACCAAATACTTCTGTCTGAAACTCAAACCCTCATGCGAGGGCTGGTTACAGCAACCACCAGAAAAGTGAAGGACAGCAAGTCAAACCTGCTGCTCTCCACAGACAAAGCAGCAGAGGACTGACTACAGACAGACACTCCTGCAAGCCAGAACCGATCACTTCGGCAGAAAACTGTCAGATGCCATGTCATATAAATTGTCACAGCTCCTGTGACACATGCTCTAGAATTTTATAGTAATTTCTAATAGCATCTATACAGCTTGAGGGCATAACAACTTAGGATGAAATAAAGGGAACAAATTGTGAACCCTCCTCTTAAAAGAGTAACAGGCTTTCTGTTCTATTTTCACGGTATGATCAAATGCCCCTTTATAACACAAGTAGAGTTCTAAATGCAAGCTCAAAGGACATTGTGAAAGTTAGGCAAGATGTGTTTTCAGACATCTGACATTATGTGCACCTACAAAATATATGACAGTTATTCACACAATGAAGTCCATTATAGCAAATATCTCTCTTTTTTAGTCTCTGACAAAGCAGGTAAGCAGATCAGTGGCTCTACATTAAGTCAATCAGAAATTGGATTAAACCAACAAAAGGAATTAATTCAGAACTCAAAGTTGATGTTCTTTGCTTAATCTTCTGGATTCCAGACATGACATACTAATATATAGTAGATGTGTTAATATCTCGATGCAAGCAATATAATGAATTAAAGTTATGGATACCTTTTCTTGTTATGTATTTAGACTGTCTTTTGATTTTATCCTAATGAACTACTTATTTGGTATAGTTAAGTAGGCATACCATATTCATTACAGTGGATAAATCTTTAAGAGTTATTCATGTATCAAATTACTTCTCCAAAGGGCTCTGTTTTATTCTGGGCCACAAACAGGATCGCAAATTGTAAGCAGGGAAATGGTGACATCCAGTGCTCAGATACTATGTAAAGCATATGCATCCTCATCGTGCCTTTTTGTTGTTGCTGTTCTAATGCACAGACACCTTGGGTGTCTAATGCACAGATGCATTACATTGCAACAAAGTATTATAAATATCCACAATAAACTTAAGAATTTAAAACTCTTACCTTCAAGTTTTGTCTTTAAATGAGCAACAAATAATGCACATAACTTTGTAAACAATACTGTCACTGGGGTAATTTTTCTCTTCTTCCCAGACTATTTAGGTCAGCCCTTATATAATTCTATTTATATTAATGAAAAAGGCAGAAGCAGCACAGTTTATATTAGAGATTTGTTAGGATTACATCTCCAAGAGCACTTGCACAGCTACCTGAAATGGACAGTTTCAATAGCAAAAATAGTGGCTGACAGACACAAGTCTGTATGCCTGCCTCATCAGTTATATCTTCTTCTCTTGTAGGGTAACATAGCACTGTACGTTAATCAAGATGCTATAGAAAAGTATGAAAAATATGCAGGAATCAACAGGCAGAATAAGAACAACCCCCTTTTCTTTCCATAAAAACAAACCAATTTATCCTAAAAGTGAGATGGCTTGAAAAGATAATTTTATAACAAACATGTTAATTCTCACTAAACCCCAACATGAACTAACTCCCGACTTACTCACAGGAAGATATGTGTCTTAAATTGCTAAGAAAATAATTCAAAGAGTATGAGAAACTAGCAAAGAATGCAGGAAAGAAGCCAAGTGGTGCTTGCACATAGGGACATTTTACACCCTCCAGTAGGTTGCTCACAAAAAGCTGGTCGAAGGCTAGGGTAACATTTCAGACACGTCAGAATCTCTCCTACTTTTCTTCAAATTCAGTTAGTAAGACCAGGTACGACTGGAAGTACAGTAGTTATTTGTCATGGTGGAAAAAAAAAAAAAAGTGGTAAGACACTACAAATAACATCAAAATAATTTTTCAATTAAAAAGAAGCTTTTTTCAGTGAAAGAGTGGAGAAACCGAGACACAGACGTTTAAGTTTAGGTAGATGGGACCACTTCACAGATCATGATGGCAATTCACCAAAGTTCCCTCTTCATCACTGTGGCCATTTTTCAAACTGAGAGGCTTTTCTTTCCAGTTACCAAGCAGGTGAAAAGGCTCAGAAAGCTTTGCTCCACCTTATCCTTATACATTTTTCTAAAACAAACTAGGTCTGGCACAATTTTTCAGTCAATGTGATTTAAAGAACAACTGCAAAGATAATTTTGCACTACACTTTTTTTTTTTTTTTTTAAATATGATGGTAAAAGATATAATAATCCAGAATGTTTACCTCTATTGTTATTATGAAACATGTGAGATGGGAAAGAATAAGCATCCTGCTGGTTAGGAAATGTCATAAGTAAAACCTGAGACCAGCTTACAAATCTCTAAACAATAATAGGATCAAGGAAATTACTCCATTTTTAAAGACAATCTGGTCTCTGGGTAATCAAAACAGCATTTACCTATGCATTCTAAGGGGACCTTTTTGCTCTGACATCACTATCCCCAAATCCCAAAGTCTTTTTGGAAACCAACATTAAATCATGGGCCAACCAAAGTTCCTGACAGCTTCAGACTTAGCTATATTTTCATTTCCGGAGGTTTACTAGCACCTGAGCTTAAAAACTGTCAATTTAAACAGCAGCTGTAAACCAGATCCATAATAAAGACTTAAATACAAACCCTGTTCCCCCTTCCCTTCCCCCCTCCAGTATTTCTCTTTACAGATAAAACCAGCTCCCAAAGATAAGCTGCACTACTGCAGCTTAAGGTGACTGGAACTCCAGAATGTACAAGTGTTCAAAAATCCTTTCCAGCGTACAACTAATTTTATGTAAGCTGGAAGAGAGCATAAAGATGCAGTTTCATATCATCGCACCTACCATTTTTAAAAATATTCAATACCACTGGAACTAGAACAGATCCTTGCTTCAGGGATCCTGCTCAACCCAATGACAATTACCAAAGCACCAAATTACAAATGTGATGTTTTTCATCCCTGCTCTCATCTCTTAAGGCACCCTGCTTACAGACTCATGTTACTCTTTAAACACTGTTAGCAACCTCTGCTTTAATTGGACTTAATTAAGAGGAACTTCCGTTTTGATACATAATAACTAATCTATTAAATTAGTTGTTTCCCTAATCCCAGCACATAAAAAAGGTGGCTTTAATGCTCTCAAAAAACTTGCATACATACATTTTTATACAACAATTTCAGTAAATTTTAATATTAGTCTTCCTTGGTTTTATACCATTTAAGCCATGTTACTGTTTATGATTCCAGAAAAACACACAGGCATATTTTTTTTAAAAATTGCCTGAAAAAAGCAGGCTGGTGAGGCTGCTAAAACACATTACCTCACACTCAACAGTTACTTAAGGATGGTGAGAGCACCAATTAGTATGGGCTGCAGCCGCTCAGTCTCAATGCTTCATTGCACCAAGAATGAATGCCCTCCTGAAAAAATGGTTATTTTGAACATATACTAATGTATAATCACCCATGACCATGTAAACATTGCAGCAGCTACAGAGACAACTGAGCTTTAACCATTCAAAAGACAACTGAGCTATGCGTTAAGTACCCTGGTTTTGCTCCTGTGTAACACCATTGCATGCATGTACATAAAGAACTTGTAGCCAGAATGGCTTTAAACTAAAGTTTAAATATAGTTAATTATTTTTAATAAATATTTTTCTTGCCCTGATAAATTCCTTAAAACAGAAACAGTTACATAAACACAAAAAAATAGATTTTAAAAAACCATCTGATGTCGTTTGCCATAGTTACCCTCCTCATTTTCAAAGACATTTCCAACAGAAAAATGTTTTTGGGTACAACAGTGGAATTTATGTCATCGTGACCAAGCGATTACAGTGTGCACAGTGAGATTCTCCCGCGGCTCTGCGGTCCTGGTCCCCATGGAAACCGGACTCGGATATTGTCCTCCACTCACTGGAGCACCGAGACTTGGGAGCCTTTTGTGCCTGATGAGATTTCTTCCACAACCTTCCAGCAACAGACCCTATGCTTCCTCCTGACTCTTTCCTAATTGAGATGCAAATTAATCTCTGTGGCTGATTACACTTCCCTTAAAGCCCCTGACAAGTGCAGCTGTAACTGGAGTTTACAGACTTCCCAACAAGTGACTTCAGCTGTCACTGCTGGCAAGATGCTGCCCCAGCTCCCCGGCACGCGACCCCGCGCCAGCAGCGCTTCCCGTGGGCACCATGACCGGCCTCGCTCCCCTGCACCCGGCAAGGCATTTCACACCCTGCCATGGCCCCAACATGAGCACCACAGACTGAGTGCCTCATCCCCATTGAGCCATTTACACCAGATGAAGCGTTCAATCAATTTCTAACCACACTTGAATTGAGAAAATGTTTAGTTACTAACCCTTATTATGGATGCTGACTTTTAACAGGACCTGTGTGACAAACAGAAGCAGCAGACCACTCCCAGCTCTGCCTTACACAAGCTTTTCTGCACTCACCTGAACGGCAAGGTTACATCTAATGTGCTGCCAAACATCACCCGTTACTTTTCCAGGATTACTGCCTTTATTTCTCCCTTCTACTGAAATTTTGAGTTATGTCACCTTTGAGTTACTTTCATCTCCAGTCTGACAAAGTTACTACAGTCTTTCACTTACTGTTTGAATTGCTGGGTCTGCTTTCCTCCTGTTCTCCTCGTAGCAGTTAGTAAAGCAGACACCAGAGCAGAGTCACTCATGGCGCATGCGCCCTTCGGGAGCTACAAAGCAGTCTTACTGCACTGTACAGGTACAAGCACCGTCTTTACACATCTACACATTTACGTTCCAATTTCTGGCTCATAAGGAATTTTAGTATATAGAAGCGTTTCTTTATCTATAGTAAAAGTTATGGATAACTATCTCTCCAATTCCAGTTTCATCCTGGTGGGATCTTCCCCACCACATTGTCTTTGTCCAGTTTCAGAATCTCAATCCACTTTCATTTATCAAACAGACAAGTGGCAGCTGATTCACTACAGATATCGTTGGTGCAAAAGCAGGCACAAAAAAGGAAGAAAAGAATCCGGGGACAGATGCTGTTTCAGCTAGACCTCAAACATATGCTGAGAAGTGACATGTGCTATCATATTTGTGCTGCTCATGTTTCCCTGGGGACAAGGAGGGACCCAGAGAGAGAGACCCCATTGGAAAGCAGGAGCACAGTAGGCTGGTGAGGGCTGTTTGCTTAGAAAATGCTAAAAGCCAGAAGATGAGCAGGATTAAGACAGGAGACTCCGACAGGGAGAAAAGTGCTGGGATGGTGGTAAGAGGCAACAAGGTCTCTTCATTCCTGTAACTGCTGTTACTTATGTTAATTTTACTACACTGTTATTTTATTGTTATACATTGACTACAGAAGCAGATGGATTAAGCTAAATTCTGCATAGAAGAATTTTAGTAATTAGCTAGATTTCTCTCATGAGACAAAAGTGGAAAACTTGGCAAATTTTGAATCATCTGTTAGGTACTGCCACAGCTTTGCAGCTGATGTATTGCATTCAACTGCTTATGCAACAACCACCAACTGTCTTTGTTTTAAAATGAGTACACAATGAAGTTAATAAAATACAAATTTATTTAATGACAATGCTACTTTTAATTTCTGATTACTTTAGCAAAGTATACGGGATAAAATTCAGCCTTTTTTTAAAAAAAGCCCCCAGCATTCTGAGGATATTTTGCATTTTAGAAATGCATGTCTCAAACTAATTAAACAATGTTCTTTCAAAGATCAAAACATTGCATTTACAAACTCTTTCTCTAAGTCATATGGTTAGAAAAATACCTAAATCAAAAGCTACCCAAAGAAAATGAAGTGCAGTGAATGTTGGTCCTGAGATAAGTGATATGATTAACAAAACAAACTATAAAATGTTTCTAGCGTAATTATGGCATTATGAGAATAACAGTAATAATGCTGTTAGTCTGTATATCACACAAGAATAAAAGCCTGTGCTACAATTCCTGTCACAGAGAAGCATACCATCTTTCTGCATTCCAGCAACCGTTAGAAAATATGTTCTGAAAATGCCCAAATACAGACATGGCTGGAATGAAACTGTAATTTGGGAACCGAAACACCCATGTCTGAGGCCAAATCCCATCTGTCTTATTAATGCAATGAGTCCAAGTAAAGTCAATTGGACTACTTCTTTGAATAAGATAAGAATACAACTGAGCCGTCTGTTAGCTTAATACACACTGCAGATAACTTCTATTAGCGTATAAAAAAAAAAAAAAAAGGGTATTATCATTATTTACAGCTCAAAGCATCAGGTCCAAGTCCAATGCCAGCAAGACTGAAGTTATTGGTGAGAACACTCTTGTAATGTTATAATCTTATTTTTAAAACAATGGGTGGCAACTGGGTGTGAATGACTGAAAACATTGAGCTTGACATGAAGAAAGCTTTGACCTTTTCCTGTAAAATCAAATAGGAAGGGATTTTCATTAAAGCTTACCTCTCTGCAGAAAAACACTGAGAAGTAAGAACCCTACCAAGGGGAGCTTTGCCCCAGCAGGAGGAAAGGATACAAGCTCTGGTAGAGTGGGATGAGCGACTTGACGGCTCTGCTGGCATTGATGCACGTGGCACATATGAGGCTTGGCAGCAGCTTTGAAGTCACGATTGCTCCATCGAAGAGAGGACCAAAAAATGGCACCTGTAGACCCCAAAATAAAAACAACACATGTAAAGCCGAGTCAACAGAAGCTGAAAGGTTAGTGTAGATCATGAGAGCAACTTCCAAAATCACAAACTGAAACAACACGCCCAGCTCAGGGAGGGGATTCTCACAGCAAGGCATCTGCTGCTTCAGAAAGGTGCCAGGGAGGCAAGAGGAGGCACGTGCCACACTGCCCTGCTCTAGACAGTGAAGTTATTCAGTTACAATCATTAGCTTGCTCGAGGTCTCCTCTCTAGATCACAGGCATGAAGAGACTCCTCGAAGTACAGCAAAAGAACACAGAAACAAACCACCTCCACAGGCTGTAGCTGCAGGGCCATCACCAGCTAGGTCAGCACAGTCAATCGGGCAGTACCTTTCCTAGCACAACATTCTCTATATTGCATTATATTGTTCACATTTGGAATAATAACCATCAGATCCACTACAGAAGACCATTACATTATTTTGCCATAAACCAGTACGACTACATTGTTTTCCACACAAAAACTTCCAATGTGATATTAATCCCCCAATTTCTTATGTAAGTTTTATAATCTTCCATAATTGCCATCAGTATACTTTACGTGTATATGCACATTTCACAGAATATTCAATTGGGTAAACAGGAGCTTGTTATGCATATGAAGTTAGTCTATCAATTTGAAATCTATATTCCCTTTTGAGTAGATAATAAGAGCTGTTTTCTGTCTTGCATCCCAGTGGGAGACCCTGATTCACTGACTGAATCCAACACTGGCAGGAGTTTTTGCAGAGAACTATTTGTTTTCAAATAATCCTCTGTAACTCCTTCCAAGGACTTCACTGAAGGGGGGTGTGTGTGTGTGTGTGTGTGTGTCTGTGGTGTGAAGAGCTGTTCCAAGATAATGAGGCCTGTGGAAAGCCTAGAGGAGATGGTGGAAAACTACCACCTCTCAGAGGCAGTTCCCTGTAAACATGGCTGGGACAGGAGCAAACAGGTCTATCCCAGTGTAGCATGTCAAGGTGTTACAAACACTGTTTGTTCAGGGTTACTCCCAGAGGAAACCACCATATAATGTCATTTGGTGACCTATGGCTCTTCAGAAAAAGGCTATACTAGGTAAAAGAGACACTTTATAGAAGTGGAAAATGTCCAGAATTCCATACATGTAACAGATTTTGCCATGTCAAAGCCAGAAAATTTTAATGTTTACATGTATAATAGATTTTAATATTTTGAAGTACTCAAACTCATTTCCTTTTCAGAAACTCAAAATGAAAAAAGAAATGCCACAAAACCACCAACCAAAACCCTAAACAGAAGCTAGCAGTAATTATCAATATTTAAGTTATGGATTTTTTCCATCTGTACAGAGGCTTATCACCTAAATAAATACACTCTATTATTCTTCTGCAACTGCTTGTGGGTGACTGTGACAGTCATTCAATAAATGGACAAAGGGAATAATATAAATCCCCTGCATCTAGGGAATTCCTCTAATTAGAAGTGGCAATGAATTACAGAAGAAATTTGGTTTTAATATAACATCTGCAAATGACAGCTGTCTTTTCAAACAGTTATTTTGTCATTCCTTTACTTAAAATAATTACCACCTCCCCACACTCTCCTCAAAAAACAGATTAGTGTAAAATGTTTCCATAGTGGTTTTGCCCCTTTTTTTTTTTTTTTTTTTAATGACAGCATTACTATCTAGGCAGTTGGAAAGAAAGGTGACAGGAAGAAAATCTGTGCCACCGAAATGATAATGTTGTAGAGCACCAAGTTCTTCCTCTTTAAGCTATAACATTTCTAAGCAAAATTTTTAACACATACTCTGTTTACAAGTACTGACAAAAGGATTAAAAAATAATGTAAAACTATATTGATATGTAAGGAGGTTAAGTACACACTAGTATGAAAATTATGCCAACACACAAACACCAGATATTTAAAGTCAGATTGGCACTTACATATGCTATTGTAAAGGGAAACTAACTGTCAGGCTTTTTGACAAGCAATTTTTGCTTACAGGACTTTGTTTCACTGTTTCAAAACCACCAAGAGTCTATGCAATGTGGCAGGTTTTTTTAACACAGTATTACAGAATTTACATACTTACAACATAGACAAAGAGTGTATATTTTATAGACCTTATAAATGCGTTTGTATATAAATACATACACATATATACATATGCTCACATTTAAAAAAATAAAATAAAATCTTTCAGTGGGAACTCTCCCGCAAATTTATCAAAAAAACCCTCCAATCTGACATTTTAAAACAAAAAGTTTAATAATTGTTTTATCTGAAAGTTTAATAGTCAGACTCCAATAAATCATATTTTATTCTAAAACTCCTTGTAAACAGAAAAGTAAGCTAATTCAAGCTGAACCCCAGAAACTGAGAGTTCTCCTTGGCATCCTTCAACTGTGTCCTCAGAGATAAGAATGAAGTGGGGGCTCTCTGGAGTGACTTTCATGAAATTGGGGAAAGATGCTTTTTTCAAGCATGTTTCAAATAAACAGATTATTTCAAGAATTGTGTCCTAGGCACATGTTTTGTCAAAAAGTATACATTTTTTGCAATACAAAGTTGGCGTACAGTGGCAGATGGAAAAAGAAAATAATGCAAAGGATGGAAGTGGCTTTGTATGACAGCAACTGATTTTACGTTACCAGAGAAAAACAAGAGCTGTGCATATGCAACCAGAACCAAGTGCAGTATTTTCCCAGTCTGGTTCATCGCTTTTCGATGTGTGGGACTAACCCTCTGGAGAGCTGCAAAGGCGTCACTGTCCTGCCTCACAGCAGCAGTGGAGCCAGCAGGCCTCGTTGCTCCCCGCAGGGTGCAGGGGTCCGCAGAGCCTGGGGCAGTACGAGGAGCATGCAGCCGGACCATACGCCCGCATGGACACAAAGCACAGAATTATTAATTCCCGAGCAGATCTACTGGCCATGCCGAGGGTCATTAAAGTCAATGGAACTCGCATATCGTCAGCTTCCATCTGTGTAGGGGGCTCTGCCTTAAGGAGGAGTTTGAGGGGGGGAGACCAACTGAATGCACAGGGACATGCTCCCTGCTCAGTACTTTTCTGTAAATTGATATTAAAACCCATTTGAGGAAAACAGTGTTTTGAATGGCTACAAAAAAAAATATCTGATGCTTTGACAGGAATCAATTAAAAAAAAAAAAAAAGAAAGAGTAAAAGCAAATATCCCCTTCCTTGAGTACCCCCAAATGTCAATGCAATTTATCCATGAAACAAAAATTAATATTCAGCCCATTGCAAACACCTGCTTCATTACAATTTCCAAGAAAAAAAAAAATTATTTCTGTTGTACGCAGTAAAACTAGGCAAGGTTAAATAAACCTTTTGAGCACAAAGACTTCCTCTCTATAGCAAGCAGCACTAGTTAAAAGAGTGGGGAATGGGTAAATTATTGTACCAAATGGCTGAGAATTAATCTCTGATGACTAGCTGCAATCTAACGAGGCATCTGTGTCCCAGGGAACCCGCAGTATGTCCCTGGCGGTATGTGCAGTGTGTAGAGTCTGCCTGGCATTCTTTGTCCTCTTTTGCAGGCAGCTTTTCGTCTCATTGTTCAGAATATCCTCATGCATCTGTGACGCGTGGAATGCATTCACACTAACAGACTTACTATTGTCTTCTCTCAGAAGCTTTGTCGAGCAAAGACTGCATCACGGTTCCTGATAATTATATTGCTTAATTAATCAAGACAAAAAAAATTTGCAAATCATTGCCCGGTTGCCAAGCAGGGAGATAAAAAATGAAAACAATACAAGCTGAAGCAATATAACAAAAGTAACAGCTATCTGATCAGAAATTCTTATATAATGAAGCTATTAATGCTAAATCGGTTAATGTTAACATTGCTCCAGGTGTCTCTACTTAGATGCAAACAAAAAGGCTAACATTATGTATATAAAAGGCCAAATGTTGCCATGGATTCTGTAACCTGATAGAGAGGACAGCCTTTTCATTTGATTAGGGAATGCAATTTAAATACCAGGGACTGAAGCCAAACAACAGACATTTCTCTCTGCAAGCCTCTTTCATTCACCCTGAGGTCAGTAGCTGGTGAACAAAAGGTCAGCCACACTTGCCCTGGAAATGTCTGGATTAATTTTATTACATTGTAATGGTTTGTACTTTAAACGTAGGGATAACACTAAATTTCCAGTTAGCTATTATTCTTTCTGCCCGTTGGGTATTTTTGACTAATATGTAAGATGACATAGCTTTTCTCAACTGGTTCATAGAATTTTTAAGCATGTTCATAACACTAAATCCTGATTTTCCTGGTGGAATATTAAAAGCTAAAATTCCCAAGTAGTAAATTGCAGAGCTCAAAATCAGCTGTAGAAAACCACCCACTATTTCAGTGTACAAAAAATTGTCAAGTTTGAAATGTCTACTGGCAAACCGCTGGTTGCTAATATATAATAGCTCCATCATTCACAACATAATATTGTATACTGCTGGTAAAGATGTCATCTGATGTATGCATTTCTCCATGGCTGGTTATTTTTGACAAATATTGTCCCTCATATAAGGGAAATGGTGTTTATCACATTGATTACTTTCATAAAGTATATTTTTAATATATTTTTGCATCCATCACGTACCAGAGAAGCATTTGTTAAAGCAGCTTTTTTTATACATATGCACTGATGCACATACATACACAGCTGACATTTTGCAAAAACACCCAATCATTATTGCAAAAAAATGTCTAAAATGTAATTGCATAACAATGATCTAAACAGAAAATACTAAGCCTCAAATACTTTGTTTGATGTAAGGACATCCAATGCCTACATCATCCCATTGATTCTGATTATGATGATGGTCTCAAAACCATGTGAGGTTATGCACTGTACCATACGTACAACAGTAACCAAGCTCTATGGGGTGAATTAATAGCAAATGAGGAACTTCTATCTTTATTATTTTGCCTTTATTGCCTCACATTGGAAATTCACAATGATTTTAAACATTGTTCTTTGTACAGTAACTCCTACAGGTTAGGAATTCTGAAATATTTCTTTAAGCACTAAACATGAATATAAAATTAACTTGTAGCCATTTCAATTGTGATTAATAACTCTGGTTTTTAAATAAGAGCTCATTGTTCACCATACTTTTAAGCGGAGATGGACAATCTGTATTTTGTATTTGCTTGAAAAAAAAAAAACAACCAAGCTCTATACCACTGAGCTTTATTTAAGCAACAAAACTGTTGGTCACTTGCATAACACATATGATAGATCCAATAAAGCAGTCAAAACATACCTCTGGTTTCTTCATTATCTCTATGAAAAACATGTGATTCTTCATTGGATAAATAACAATTAAAACATCTCCAAAATCTGTTGGTATAATGCCTCTGCGGTAGTTCCTGGTGTGTTCAGACCAGACGATGTGAACCTCATCATTTCCCAAGTGACGAAGCTGCAACAGCAAATTGGCTCTTTATTAATCAGAGTGATAACAACAGTTTATGAGGGGTCATGGCTTACAAATTGAATTACAATGCTCAATAGTAGAAATATTTCATTACAGAAAAAGTTAAAACATTGTTTTTCTCCAGTTGCTCATGAAAAGATCAGCTAAATAATTTGATTCATTCAGAACACATTGTTGTCTGATGGCTTAATTAAGTAATTATCAAACTAGCCATTAGCACGATATGTAAATGTACATTACCTACAATAATTTAAGATGGAAATCTGAATTACTAGAAGAAAACATTAGCCAACAGACTATCATACCCAGATAAAAAAGGTAGATGTCACAGAAATATGAAATGCCTTGACTCAGGATGCCAAGAAACTTTCCCTCATCAACCACTATTCCTGAATTTATTGTATTATAAATATCTCCTTGCTGACCCTGTCTGAAGAGGACTTTTGTTTGAAATTGTAAGCAAAATAGCCAGGCAATGTGAATTAGAGAAGAATGGGAAATACTGTAGGAGTTATCTTTTTATGTGGAGCAGAGCAGCATAAAATATGGATAAAATTTACATGTGACATATACAAAATGCATCTGAAAGCCTGCGTGTTTGCTTTGTTATCGGAGGAACTGGAGGTGATCTAACAGATGGCAAAAAGTATTTGGCAATCATGTACAAGCTACACACAATAGTTTCAACTGTAAGCTTTAAAGTTAAAATTTAATCCACATGCAGAATGCCAGCCTGAAGCATAAAGAGAATTTAAGTCCCACTTAAAGCTTAAAACACCACCCCCCCGCAATTTGGTGCTAGCCCTTGGAACAATGTGCACAATAGACCTAACAAAGAAGCCAAAATGTAGCTCTGCCTTCTTCACTGTCTCTGTGCAGGGGAAAAAAAAACCACCAAACCAAAACAACAAAAAAAGGTAGCTATTTTCATTGGTAAATAACCACCAAGTAATCTCAACATGCCTTGTATCAGGCTATATTGTACCACTGAATCTTATCTCTTCAGAAGCAGGCAGCACCTTTAAAAAGTAGACTTTCACACTCCTACATATTGGGTGGCAAACTGTACCCTAGTTATAAGCGAAACATGGCAAAAACATAACACATTATGAGAACCAAAAAGTTAAAACTATGAACTTTGCTTACAGTTTATACTCTAGTAGAGTAAAATAAAGCTAAGCTCATAGAGTGAGATAGATTCCCAGTTTATTTTAAATGAAATAGAAGACAGTTGTATTTTATTTACACCTATGAATAAAAGACATTTTAGTTCTGTTTGAAGAAAATACAAACCATCTGTGTTTTATAAAAACATGGAAACATTAACAATACTATTACTACAGCTTCTTTCTTACATGTACAAAAATCAGTACAAATTAATGTTCTCATGGTCATCCTGATTTCTGTGCATTCTCTTGTATTTTAACTGCTCAGTAAAAATAAAGCAACACCCAAGAAAATACTTACGGTGATAATATCACAGTACAGACTGATTAATATAAAATGAGCAGCAATTTACATGTATGACAAAATCCTGATTTCACTTTCTGTGAACAGATGCAGCCAGGTCACCTTAAAAGTGATTAACAGGAAGATGCAAAGTTTCGCCTTAAAAAACCAAAAACCAGTCTGTCTACAAGATTTGGTGCACAACAGGTTATACATACTGAGGGTCTAAGTGTTTGGCAAGGCTATTCTACACACAGCCCAAGCTGAGCTGTAATTTTCTATGAAAGCTGAGCGAAGGAAGGACCCAGCTCACACCAGCTGTATTCAGAACAGCCCAACGGCAATGTATTTGTAAGCAATTTATCAGGCTGAACTCAACGCATTCTGATACTAGAGCGAGTTCTGGCACTAGCTTTGCAACATAGAGAAAGCCCACAATGGCGGTATTTAGCAACCTCTGCTTTAAAAAGCCCAACAAATAAATATGGAAACAGAATTCTGTAAGGTGATGCAATTGTGCAGTCGCACAGGGCAATTCACAAACTGAACACTAATCTTCTTTCTACAAAAACAAACGGTGAAGAAAAGGCTCTGTCCTGCCTTGCCTCCTATTGCTTTTGAAGTCATAAATAGCACATACCACTATAAAAACAGCAATAAAAATATGTCCAAGTACTGCTTAAGAGACCCTTTCAAAATCACAACGAACTATTTGGATAGTATTCAAATACTTTTCGTACTGAAGAATCCCAAAACACGTTTAATCATCCAACATCCAACAGAACAACATTCAGTAAAGAGGGAGAAGTTAGATCAACTGTGGCTTGCTGTGCTTGAGAGAGGTGGTGATGGCTATGAGCTCAAAACTTCACAAATATTGTGTGATAATAAATTACTACCTTTGCTAAAATCTTCATCCTGTGCTAGTAACAAACTTTAAAGCTTGAGTTACTACCTGACATAATTTTCAAGTCATACATCCTTAATCATTGAATTTTTAAGATACAGTGTTACAAATAGAAAATTGGTATTAATAAAGAAATTTGTTCTTGGAAGATCCATTTCACTGATAAAAAAACATTATAACAGTCTTATCACCACCAACAAACCAGCTGCTATTTTC